CTGCCTTCGTGAAACTACGCCTACGATAACCTAACCACTAGCCTTTGCCTGGCGCTCGCAGCACGGATGGAAGCGAATTCAAGCAAACCCCGCATCATACATATGTCCAATTGCGTTGCCTTAGCGTTCTTACTGCTGAAAAGGCTGCAATTCCTTGTAAATGGAATGGCAAGCTAGTTTCTTTGCTCGCAGTCAAGAAGAGTAAGTTATTTAAACACGCTCAGAGCTAGCCAAGCCTTCAATGTGAAACTAAGTTAAACTGATGCCTGTCTCACTCTCTCTCTCTCTCTCTCTCTCTCTCGCTAGAAGCCCTTTGGACGGCGACAAACTTCAAGATACAAAGTCCCCATGACAAACACCAACACCAATGCTATGTTGAAACCTCGTGAACCGCCACCAAACCCCATTCCACAGGCCATATACACAAAGGCCCTTTCTATAACGGCCTTGCCCTTTAAGGCCCTTTGAATCCCAGGGTTCTCGTTTTCTGAGTATGCGTTGGTGTAGACGTGCCAACACAAAACACACAGACACAAACACGCGCGCCCGTACATACACATAACATAACACGCCCACGCACACAAGCACGCTCTAGCTTTTTCTCTGACTCGAAGCGACCGACAGAGGCACAGCAAATATCAGCGGCAAACAAGAGTGCGGGATTTTCACGGTCATTTGGGACGGACACGGTCATAGGGGATTTTGAAGGCTTTATGGCCAAATGACCTTCGACCACCTTTTTCGCGATCAAACCAATGTCAAGGTCAAGCTGTATGCACAGCACACGCGGCGTCTGACTGTACGCATGTTTGAAAGAGCGATAGGGAAATGGCTGATGTTTGAAAGAGCGATAGGGAACTGGACTCAGTTGCCCAAAGGACCTGGAACTAAAAGGTTAGCCTTTTGGGGCCATGACAAAATATGGACCAAATTTGGAAAGCAAAAGGTCAAAAGGTTCTAGGAAACGGGTTGGATGCGCTCTTTGTGGATTTCACCAGTTCTTCCCCCTGTAGGTTCTTTTTTAGTACTCTTTTAGTACTCTTTTAGTCCTCTTTTGATATCCTACAGGGGTGGATCCACAAAAACCGCATCCAATCCGTTTTCCAGAGGCTTTGAACAACTGAGTGTATGTATGTATATGTGTGTGTGTGCGTCTACTTGCTCGGTCGCTTGTTTAAACTTACGGGCACGAAAGCGACGCGGAGGAACTTGTAACTGTTCGAAGCTCTCGGCGGATTCTTGGCTGAGCTTGCGCGACCCGCCCTCGAATGGACGCCGGGGAACGGGGAGGCAGTAGCCCGCCGCATTCAGAACGCACCTCCGCAATCACCCTCTCTTGTCGCGTTGGCCCACGCGTCCGCGGCATGGCTTCTTTGCCCCCCAAAATCCCGGACAGCGAGCGCTCTTCTTCGGCCAGGGCGGTTTTGCAAGCAAAGTCTTCTAGGATCGCTGGTTTCTGAGCGCGACTGCTCCCTTTCCGCGCACGGTTCGCAGAGAGACTGCGCTCTTGGCTCGGCCAGGGAACAGAGCGCGTTCAGCACGCGTCCCAAGTAGCGCGTCTGCCCTTCGCAGTCGAGTTGATCGCGGCTATCATTATTCTCCCTCCCTTCCCGGGATGTTTTTCACCATGCCCGATAAGCATATCTGGTGCACTGGAGGCCTTCTTCTATTGCTGTCTTTGGGCGGCGGTCCTATACAAGCCTTGCTTTGGGGCAGGCTCGCGGCTTCGATTTGGATTCGTTTGCATGCTGTTGTCTGCTACAGACATGTGTGACATCTGGGCTCAGCATGGGCGTGCAGTTTGCAGTACTGCTGGAATGCGGGCGTGCGAAGGCGAACCAAGACGAACTGTCAAAAAGCGCGTGGCGTGCCGCGGCGCCCAATCTGACCGTAACCTTGCTTAAGGCTCCCTTCAGGTGGCGCAGAGTCATGTGTGAGACACCTTGTTACTCAATCATGCGTGTTTGACAGTGTTCCTCACGGGTGATATATATATATATATATAATATATATATATATATGTACTGCTCATGCTCACGTTGCACCAACAAATTTCCGGGAAGAAACATCAGCAACACAACCGAAACATCTGCCCCGAATGATGCTAGGAGCCACGGGCACCTTCTTGCACTTCTTCAACATGGCACCAAACAACAGGGGTAACTTCGCCACGTTCGAGCCTCTGCCTGGCCGGCAAGAGTTCAAATCGCTGCGGGTGAAACCCGCAAAAACTTTTTGCTCGCCTCCAGAGCGATGTCCCACAGGGCCATGTGAATTTGAGCTCCCGGACGCACACGTACTGTAAATCCTGCACCTACGTGTCCAGAGGTATAAGTGTGTAAATGGACTGTGCATCTACGTTGATGGCATCAACTCTAAATTATCAAAACGCATGAAGTATGCATCTTAGCATGCACATGTTCCTACATAGATAGGTATAGGACGCTCACTTCTTCACGTTTCTGCCAGCAGCTAGCACTACGTACTGAGACATGTACCCTGTGTATCAACTCTACTCCTCTGCTCTTGGCTGCCCTTTGTTCGTGTTCAGCGCTCCATCAACTTGAAAGCAAGGCCTTGTTGCCATCTCCCGCTCACTGAATCTCGGAGAGGGAATCCTCTTCTGGATCCATTTGCGGCTTGATGCAACGGGGCTCCCTGATCACAAAGGATCAACAAGTTGGAAGGAGCTTCCTTCAACTTGGGCTGCCAACCCTATTGGAGAACTGTGCGGGCCTAAAATATTAGAATGGGGTTGCGGGGTATCATTATACTAGCTTACCTCATGATCACGGGAGAGCGATGCTGGTACTTGTTTGCCCCCTACAAAGTCCTGACCTGTGGTGACCCCAGATTAAAGATACGATGAACCCTCAGAGAGAACCTCCTCCTCCCGTCAAGTTGCAGCTGACATGCTCCGGATCTGGTTAATTAATCCAGAGAAGCCAAAAAAAACGAAAGCGGCGCATCCCAAATCCACAAAATCCCATGGGTGCAAACATATTGGGCCCGGAGAAGTGCTGAGGCCAGCGGCTCCGACGCTCGGAATTTTCTGGCGGGGGCCAGTTTCCGAAGGCGCTGGAGCGGAAGCCCGGCTTGCGGGGCCAAAGATGAAGTTCCGTTTACATGGCCAGTATCACCTAGGTCCCTGAATTAGAGAGGCTAGAATAAGTTGGTACCAACTTTTTTGTCTGTGGTCTGATTTAGTCAGGAAAGCCCTCCCCAAAAAAGAAATTGGTAAAAGGGCACTACTGGGGGCACCTAGCCACTGTATAGCCAGTACATTCCCCGGGTACCACAAAAACTGCTCGCGCCGTCCCGCGGAGACCACAACACGTCCGGCTATTGCCATTACATTACATTGCCATTGCAATACATGACAATACCTTACATTGCATTACATTACACTACATACCATTCATTTTGGCTGGGTTGCTCTTCGCTCGATGTAGTAATGGATGTTAGTATGTAAGCGGACTACTTCGCAACCAGGTTTGGCAACTACTCTCCGACTCTCCAAAAGCCCTGGAGGCAGAAACATCCATCGCTCGATCTTTCGATCGTTCGATCCAAGGGCAAAAAAGAAGCTGCACTTGCTCAAAGGATCTCTCCAAAGACAATCTCTAGCTTTCAGGATATGAGTAAGCTGGGCACATTCCAATTCACCGACCGGAAAACATTATTATTGTTAGCAAAGGATCTTCATGGATGACATCGCATCACCCGTAGGTGAGCTCGATGTAACTGTGCAAACATGACTGGAACTCAGCTGCAAATAGTTGAACACTTGTTGCCTTCACGTTCCCAAAGGGTGAACATGTTCAAGGCCCAGAAGAGCAATTTTCCTGTTGCCCCCAGAAACAAAACATAGGTTTAACTGACCAAAGCTATTGCAGACTTTTGCAGACTCTTACGAACACATGTCAGTAAGTCACTTTATAGTAGGGTTGACGTTCAAACAAATTGAAAAGTGAGCTAGCCCACAAGAGCACAACTCCTCCAATTCATGCGGGCAGTATCGAACCCTGGATCGTAAAACAAAATTATGTTACTTTCCTATTCCAGTACAGCTAGGTCCTCCAGTAGAGAGGTTAGAATAAGGGTACCCCTTTTTTCGGCAGTCTATTTTAGTAGGGGAACCGAATCTCCCAACCAAAAATGGGGCTCCAAGGGCACAACTGGGGGACCTATCCCAGTCATATTGGCCAAAGCTTTGAAGGGGACGGAGAGGATCTGACTGGAGAGGACTGGAGAGGACTGGAGCAGACCAGTCCTATGCACCTTCCAAAATCCCGGTGTCCGCAGTGTGTCGACCTTGGGGTTGGGGGCGGGGGTATTTATCAGAGCAAAATATGATGTAAATTGTACCATGTCCAAACCCTGAAGTAAGGGATCCCCAAGTAAAGGATCTTTACGATGGCTTTTTCGCTCGTTTTAGCCCCGGATCGGTGAGCTCGCCATACATGATGCAGCAAAGATTACAGTGAGTGCCTCATGTCCCTCCCAAATTTACACCGGGATTGTTTGGCCTAAAGAAAGTGACTGTTGCGAGTTGCAAAACATGTCGCTGGCCAAAACATGCTGGTGCGATAGGCAGGGAATGACCCAGGGTGTTGGGAATGAAGCTATAGGATTCCCTGAAAAAGAACCATAGGGATGAGAACCCGCAAGAAAAGTAGCGAGCGAAAACCAACTCGTCCAGACAAGTAAGCCTGTACCATTGCGTTGGTAAACAGTGATTTGGGTGGCTTACCATTTCTTTTTCGGTGGTTTAAGAGGAAACCAAAAGGACCACCGAAGCCAGCTTGAAGGGTCCGATTTCTAAAAAAGCCCCGCCCATTTGCCACCAGGGTGAAAGTAGTCCAGAGTGTTCGCCCAACCAAGCACTTGACTTAAGCTCAGCACTTCCTCAAACCGTGATCGATCCCTCATGGGCAAGTGAGCCCGTGCGTCGAATTCCGCCGCCGTGCCGTTCGGCGCGCTTGAACGCCTCAAACGCCTCACACCACCGACAGCGGGGCCTCCACATGGAGCATGTAGTCCGGGCCCAGATCCTCAAGAAGTTGCAACCCATGTATATAGGGGTAACTTCCCATTTCCATTCTTTTCCAGGGATCCTTGTTGCTAGAAAACTACCAAAAACCCTGGGGAAATGGCTGGTTGTTGATTTTCTTTTTTAGGGAACTAACCAAGTAATGTTGACCCCGGATTAATAACCCCCGCTTTTTTTAATATGGGGGTGTTCCTCTCCAAAAGTGGTGAATCCGCACTAAAACCAAGATTTAGGGGGGCCTGAATTTTAATTGGGGACCCTTTGGTGGACATCATTTAGGTGGGATTTATGTCCACCAACCACTTCTCAAGGGGTTCCCCATTAAAATTCACAAAGAGGGGACTAACTAAGTAAGTGGGTTTTACACAGGTCACTGGATTTCTCCAGGTCAACAGGCACCCTTCCGGTCGCGTCCTCCTTGTCTGCCCAGAACCATGCTTCAAGAATTAAAAAGGCGGATATCCACAACTATTTCTGGCTGGGACTGCCCCTTACTAACCTTCCTCTACCCGGGCTTTGAGCACGTGGCTCCCCTGACCCGTCCTCCTTGGGCACTGCGAGCTGTCGGCTCCTGTGCAGAAAGAGCATCACCGCCCCGACGGTCCCCAGGGCCGCGAAGACCAGGCAGAGCGGCGCATGCTGCGCTCCGCTGGACTCCAGCGCCGACAGCACCTGCAATCTTCTTCGAGGGGCTTTTTTTTTTGGCTGGTCGTTCTTGGAACCACCATGCACCACACGCAAACCGTCCATTGCCCCCGTGTGAGTCACAAAAAAAAAAAAACTGGACCAAAATTAATCGACCCAGAGCCATGCTTCAAGAACGAAGAAGGCGGAAATTTCCGCAGCTATTTATGGCAAGGGGATCGTCCTTACTAACTTTTGATTGTGGCTCATGTTGTGTGGACATGTACCACCCAAACCTGATGGAACCTTGGGCTACTTCCCCTCGCTCCGGGCGTTGGGGTTCCGCAAGAGCTCCGGGGCTTGCTGTTGACTAATGTTGACCCCATATTGATCAACCCCAGGTTACTAATCAGGGGTGTCCATTTCTGGGTTTGGGGAATCAGACCACTTTTGGAGGGGAACCCCCATTTGAATAAACTGGGGTTGATTAATATGGGGTCGACATTACTACCTTGATGGTTGTATTGGAGTTTTGGAATTTCTGCGCAACCCACACAGTTGCTACCCAACTCCGATTTGGTGAGTACTCCTTGTATCCTGCTAGCAAATACGGTCTTATACCGTTTCTGCACGCACAATGTATTTTGGCTCCTGTGGTATGCACCTGATGTCTTTGTTGGGGCTTTGGCCCAGGTTGTATTGGGTTTGAAAAACTTGGGTTTAGTTCCATTCTCAGGCTTTAGACTTGAATGTGGCTATGTTGTGTTTCACGATGTTGGTGCGGTTGAATGGGTGGTTAGTTTTCAAGGTAAATCAAAAGGACACCAACCTTTTATGGGGGGGTTCCTTCTAAAAAAGAGACCCGTATTAACTTTGGGGATTTGGATTTCTTTAGCGGCTGTTGTTGGCTTGGAGATTAGCACCCTATCCAGCCTGCCTCAAAAAGCTCAAGCTGTTTAACAAAGCAAGCAAACAACAAAGAAACTGGGAAAATAGGTCAATAATTCACAGGGTTGGCCTGGTCCTTGACTACTTGCTTCATGCCCGGGGAACCAATGTGTCGTTTGTGTGTCTTGTCTTTTTTTTTTTTCCGGGGGGGTGCTAGCTGGCAACAACCGGAAACTCGTCGCGCAAAACACGGGCGAGGGTGTGAAAGGCGATGCTGGAATGCACCAAAAAGGGTACAGACAAAGGTCTGTGGTGGTTGGTGTCGTGATTGCCCCATGGTCAAAGAACAACTCAATCTTCTGGTCGATTTTACGGTATCCTGGCCCAAAAATCATCGGAAACACACATGTCATTGAAGTAGAGTGCTTCCAACAGGCAAGGGAGCACACTCTTTTAATGTTCTTCAGGTTCTTCCTTCGGACTCTTACGGTGAAGAAATCGCTTGTTGAGTTGGCCTTTTCCGGGCCGAGGGCATCTGCTTCCCTTGGAGGGTCTTGGTGAGGTACTTAGACCCCTTTTTAGCCCCCAAAAGCCATCCTCATGAGGTACTTGGACCTCTGGGTGAGAAAGAGGACTGGCGCTCTGTTGGTTCACTTCTGGACAGAAACACCAAAAGAAAAAAAGGGAGCATCTTCCATGTAGGTGTGTCCAAAGATCCGCTACTAACCTCCATAACTAGGGTACCCTTTTTTCTGTAGTCTATTTCAGTCAGGGAACCCTCCCCAGAAAAAAGGGCAAAAGAGCACTACTGGGGGAGCTAGATAAAGATGGGCTATGGTCATTTTCTCACCAACTCTCACTTGCAGGCGCCTTGGGCTCGGATTTGCCCTCGGACTCTGCCTTCGACGCCTCCGCCTTCGCCTTGGACGCCTCCGCCTCTGCTGCCTCCTTGGCCTCTCGCGCCAGCTCCTCCTTCAAGGCCTCCTTTTCCTTCTGCCGCTTCTCCTGTGCGGAGGAAACCCTCAAAATACGAACCTGTGGCATTTCCGGCCTTTTTTTTTGCCACACGCCAAACGCCCTCGAAATACTCCCTGAACGCACTGATTGGCCACAAAGAGTCCACCAACTGTTTCTTTGCCAAATAGTTGTCCCGGCGACTCAAGTCCGATTTGCGTAGCCAAACAAAAAGAACAAAAAAACAACACTCTGACAGTGGGTCACCCCTCCACGTTCTCCACTCCTTTACCCCGCGAACACCGGGAAACCTGGGGAGGTCCTTAGAGTGGGGCTTCACTGAGCCCCCCCGGATGCGGGATGGTTCCCCTGGCTCAGATCGTACCCATGTCCCAGAACCCCAACGGTCACCGAAGTTGTGGTCTTGAAATCCCGTCCATGATCCAGGTCCTCCAGTAAGAGGATAGAATAAGGGTACCCGATTTTTTCGGTTTTGTCTATTTTAGTGAGGGAGCCCTCCCCCAAAAAAGGTCACCCCAAATACAAATGGAGCACAAGGGCACAACTACCGGCGAAAGGAAGCAGCGCTGGAATGTCCGCAACTGCATGGCTCTCAGGAAATCGACATGGAAGGCAATGGGGATGCTGGAAGTGAGGCTGAATGCCTGATTCCCAATTCCCTGCATGAATCATTCCTGTCAGAAACAATGCGGTTTCTCACTCGCTTAAGAGTACACACGTCTATATGCACTTATTCTTGGGTTGGTATTCTTTGGTAAAACCAAAATCGTAGCTTAGCCTCCCGGAAAATAGCACACGTTTTCCCTAACATCCCATCCACTAACATATGAACCTGCAATCCGGATGCCGGAAGATCGGAAGATTCTGGGAACCTGCGCAGGACCCGTGGCTTCCATCTAGGGAGGGCAACTGGCAAGCTGTCCACGACTTCCTTTCCCAACAAGACCAACAAACAGGCCTTCAGCACTTTCCACTAAGCAAGAACAGCAAAGCAGCAAAAGTAATAAGCTCCTCTCAGTCAGAATTGGGTGTGTTTTTGAGGGTACCCTTTTCAGGTGAGTTTAAAGGGACACCACAAGCAAGCCACCCAACATCTTGTGGGTGCAACTCTCATGGGGACTGGAAGGTGGTTGGGGGGGGGGAGGCCCAAATAAGCCCTTTTCAAACCCGTACTATACCCTTGCGTAGGGCTTATTTGGTCTCCCCCCCCTCAAATCCCCCTCCCCCTCAAATCCCCCTCCCCCTCAAATCCCCTCCCCCACAGCACCCATGAAAGACCCTGTGTGGACATGCACCAGTCCACTTGGCATCTTCGGACGCCTTGAAACGTCTTAACTTCGGCGTCCCGCGGCCTGCTCTCTCTGGAGCTCCCGCTGCAGGCGCTGGCGCTCCATCTGCAGCTCCTTTGGCTTGGGTTGAAACGGACCACCTTGGGCCATGGGCCATACTGTCAATGGAAGAAATCCTGCACCAGTTGGATGGTTTATCCCAGTATTTACATGGTTTTAACCATCAGAGGTGCAGGATTCCATCCATCAACTGTAGGTCTGCGTTTTTGTGATACCCTTTTAATCCCTTCCGTGTGCCTAATATAAATACTTGTTTCCGAAGTCCCAAATCCGGGAATACTACTAGGGGGCGTTTTATTTTTAGGGGGAAGGGATTACCTTGGTTTAAAGGGAAAACAGAGGGACATTTGCGCGCGCTGTGCTTAGTATGGCGGGCGACAGGACACACCCATTTATGAATCCTACATTTGGAGTTGTGCGACAGGAAAACCAGTCATGTGTCCATGTCCAAGCGACTTCCATACATTTAGAAGGGACATCTCGGTTTTGGTGTCCCTCTCAGACCACAAAACAAAACGCTCGAAAAAGACAAACCAATTGTTTGATGCCCCAACTGTGGACTCCACCTCTTGCTCTTTTCTTCGCACTTTCCAGGGGGTAATGTTGGACCTGGTTTAATGTGACCCCTTCCCCCTGAACACTGGCACCAGTCTTCTGGACCCTCTTTAGGGAAGATCCTGGGGGTCTGGGAGGGACAGTACCTACTTTAGTATTGCCAATTCCACTGTTGTATTGCCAAGGCCCCCGCTCAGATTCCTGGGACTGACTTTAGTATTGCCAATTCTACTTTAGTATTGCCAAGGCCCGTTTTTTCAGCAACCCCCCAAACGAGTTGGACCCTAAAGAGGACCCCAAAACAGTCACAATAAAGAGGATCAGAGGAATGTTTGCCCTTACTGTCTTTACTCTTAAATCTGATGGTGTGGGAACCATCTCAAAAAAGCAATTCTTAATGTTTGCCCGGATTTGTTTGCAGACTTCTTTGGCTAGTTGTGTTTGGTTCGGATTTTTTCCGGGCATTTATTTGGTCTTGTCTTCTCTCTTTTTTTGGGGGGGAGGGGAACTTGCCACAATAGAGGACCCCAAAACAGGCCAACGATCCTGAATTAGGAAACAACTTTACGCAATACAGGCTACTGCCATTAAAGTGTGTCCAACACTAATCTACAGGGAGTTCCCAAATCGAACCCCAAGATCTTGGCGCACCGAAACATGCCGAGAGATGCCGAGACCGGTGCCTGACAAGGGCCCCCAATTTTCCGGGGTCCTTCCGCAGAGCTTCTTTCCTCGGGCTGTCCGGCAGTTGCACCATGTCAGCCTGCCGGGTCGCGCGACCGGGAGGACGAATTCATTCCACCCGCGGCTTTGGCAGCTCACTCGTGAGTTTGCGAAACAAATGGGGATACCATGGGCCCATGGGCTGTCAAATCCATTTGGCGTGTCGTACTCAAGGACCCGAGCACTGTGGTATTGCGCCTCACTGGCAAGTCTTTAAAACAGAAACCACCTGGATCGCCAGTTGCGATCGCTTTTTTCCATCCACTTTACCCCAAAAACCCGCAACAGTGACTGAAAAAAGCAGCAACTTGGCTATCTAGGCAGTTGAACATCTAGTGCTTGCACTTGACACCCAAATCGGGCGGAGAGATGAAAGGCGATCCCCGAAATCGGGCTGCCATGACAAATTTCGGTCAACTTTCCGGTCGATCTGGGTATGAGTCAAAATTAAACCACCGGAAATTGGACCGCAGGTTTTAGTATTTGTTTCCATTTACCAGGGTTCGAAATCTTGTGTACCTATTTTGGATCCACACCCTTTGGTTGCAAGTGAGGATGGAGGCCGCCTTGCTTCCGACTGCCAAGGGGCCGGTTTCGCTTTTGGAAAGCGGGTCCTGACCTCGTTGACTCAACCACCCCCTTTGAAAGATACTTGGATGCTCGATGCGCCAAGCTAGCAGGCGGTTAGCCAACCCTTTCTTTGCGTTGCTTCAATTCCTTGATCACTTGTGATTGCTGGGTTAATATGGTTCCTTGAAAATTGATTCGGGCAACACCTGAAGTGCAAATAATTGCGAGTTCGTTGTGGTGAGTTGAAAGTTCACAAACACTCACCGGTTCGATACGGCTGTAGAGTGCGCCAAACACACCTCCGGAGGGTTGGTAAGCCATTTAAGGTTTTCGGCAAGTTTGACCCCATAGGCATAAACCCCAGTTTGTTCATAGGGGTTTCCAAAAGTGGTCTGATTCCCCTCTAAACCCATGGAGAAGCACCCACTGGGGGTTGATTAATATGGGGTCAACATTAACGAGCACTCGGGGCTTTTAGTAATGGAACCTTCACCCTTCGATGGCCGTTACTTTTCTGGCTTGAGGCCTCCCATCAGGCTTGAAATCCCAAGAAATTCCGGATGCCAAAGGGGATTCTCGGAGGCAAAATCAGGACTACACATCAGGCGAAATCGGACCAACCCACCAAATCAAAACATGGAGAAACCACCAAACCAAGAAATTCGAGCAAAGGACAAACACAAACTGGCCTTGGCGGAAGTGCTGGATCCATTGGCTGCAGCCGCTGCATTCAACTGCACGTACTTCTGGTAGTCGCCAGACTGGGAACCACCCTGGGACCCGCCCATGTACTTCTGGTAGTCAGCCGCATACTTGTCCATGTACTTCTGGTAGCTGCCAGCCTGGCTACCATCCTGGGAACCACCCATGTACTTGGAATAGTCGGCCGCATACTTGTTCATATACTGCTGATAGTTGCCTGGCTGGGAACCTTTGTCAGACTTCTCCGACGTGTCCGTCTTGTCCGACTTGTGCTCAACATCAGCATTCAACTGCACGTACTTCTGGTAGTCGCCAGACTGGGAACCACCCTGGGACCCGCCCATGTACTTCTGGTAGTCAGCCGCATACTTGTCCATGTACTTCTGGTAGCTGCCAGCCTGACTACTACCCTGGGAACCACCCATGTACTTGGAATAGTCGGCCGCATACTTGTTCATGTACTGCTGATAGTTGCCAGGCTGGGAACCTTTGTCAGACTTCTCCGACGTGTCCGTCTTGTCCGACTTGTGCTCAACATCAGCATTCAACTGCACGTACTTCTGGTAGTCGCCAGACTGGGAACCACCCTGGGACCCGCCCATGTACTTCTGGTAGTCAGCCGCATACTTGTCCATGTACTTCTGGTAGCTGCCAGCCTGGCTACCACCCTGAGAACCACCCATGTACTTGGAATAGTCGGCCGCATACTTGTTCATGTACTGCTGATAGTTGCCAGGCTGGGAACCTTTGTCAGACTTCTCCGACGTGTCCGTCTTGTCCGACTTGTGCTCAACATCAACATTCAACTGCACGTACTTCTGGTAGTCGCCAGACTGGGAACCACCCTGGGACCCGCCCATGTACTTCTGGTAGTCAGCCGCATACTTGTCCATGTATTTCTGGTAGCTGCCAGCCTGGCTACCACCCTGAGAACCACCCATGTACTTGGAATAGTCGGCCGCATACTTGTTCATGTACTGCTGATAGTTGCCTGGCTGGGAACCTTTGTCAGACTTCTCCGACGTGTCCGTCTTGTCCGACTTGTGCTCAGCATCAGCATTCAACTGCACGTACTTCTGGAAGTCGCCAGACTGGGAACCACCCTGGGACCCGCCCATGTACTTCTGGTAGTCAGCCGCATACTTGTCCATGTATTTCTGGAAACTGCCAGCCTGGCTACCACCCTGAGAACCACCCATGTACTTGGAATAGTCGGCCGCATATTTGTTCATGTACTGCTGATAGTTGCCAGGCTGGGAACCTTTGTCAGACTTCTCCGACGTGTCCGTCTTGTCCGACTTGTGCTCAACATCAGCATTCAACTGCACGTACTTCTGGTAGTCGCCAGACTGGGAACCACCCTGGGACCCGCCCATGTACTTCTGGTAGTCAGCCGCATACTTGTCCATGTACTTCTGGTAGCTGCCAGCCTGGCTACCACCCAGAACCACCCATGTACTTGGAATAGTCGGCCCGCATACTTGTCCATCTTCTGGTAGCTGCCAGCCTGGCTACCACCCTGAGAACCACCCATGTACTTGGAATAGTCGGCCGCATACTTGTTCATGTACTGCTGATAGTTGCCTGGCTGGGAACCTTTGTCAGACTTCTCCGACGTGTCCGTCTTGTCCGACTTGTGCTCAACATCAGCATTCAACTGCACGTACTTCTGGAAGTCGCCAGACTGGGAACCACCCTGGGACCCGCCCATGTACTTCTGGTAGTCAGCCGCATACTTGTCCATGTATTTCTGGTAGCTGCCAGCCTGGCTACCACCCTGAGAACCACCCATGTACTTGGAATAGTCGGCCGCATACTTGTTCATGTACTGCTGATAGTTGCCAGTCTGGGAACCACCCTTGGAACCGCCCATGTACTTGGAGAAGTCGGCTGCATTCTTGTTCATGTACTGTTGGTAATTTCCAGCATATTGGCTCACAAAGTCGTTGCCTCCTTCACCAGCAAGTGCTACCTCAGCCATCCACTGCACAGAATAAAATGGTTGGCCCTTCCTTTTTGGACCATAAGTCCACACGGACCCAACAGTCGGAATTGAGGAACACTAGATGGGCGTGTTAAGGGTAAAATGGTGGTTGTCCTTTTGGATTTCCTTTAAAACCACCAAACAAGGGTACCAACTCTGAAAAGGACGAGCCGCCCAAAACAGTTCTGGAATCCAACAGATCCCCTGCCTTTGCTTTCGGAATCCAAGTGACTGACCTACGATGGGCTGACTGGCCAAGCTCTTTGCACCATGCTGCCAAGTTCTTTCTTGGTCTTAGACACCATGCAAAGAGCTACCTGGACCCTCAAGATTCCAGCTTAAAAATAGGTTATTGCCCCAAAATTACGGGATGAACTCCCTTTTTCAATAACATTACGCTGGTTGGTAGGGAACCAAGAGGTCATTGTCCAACAGGTCAAAAGGCCAACAGGTCAACAGGCAACCCAAAAAAGAAGTTCTCTCAGCTTCCCAGCACCCGGTGGCTTTGGAGGTGGAGAAGTGTCCAATTTACCCACAAGAACCAAAGGGAAAATCTGGTGCTTGGAGGTGGAGGGGAGTGGTTGGAGTGGAACCAGAGGGAACTGGTGATTTGGGTGATTTGGTGATTTGGCGGTGGCTCGGAACGATGGTGGAAAAGAATGGGGAATCAATCAACCCCTAGACTAGTTGATGGTTAAGGAGACAATGGAAACCACCAGGAAAAAAATCCGGGCAGCCTGTTTGAGACGCACCAAGGTGCGTCTAGAAGCAGCGCCAAAACTGCGGCGAGGGCCATGGTTTTGGAGGCGCGAAAGGAACAAAAGTGGCGAGTCCCAGATCTGAAGCCAAATGGCTTCGCTTTGCACTTGGGTCCGGGGCTCCGCACCTCCGGACCCTTGGCTCCCGAAGTTGGACACCCGTCGCCCAAAACAGCGGCTTGTTTTTTTGGTTTCTTGTTTTCCTTTCGGAGAAACAATAAAACCACAGGGGGGTTGCACAGAGCTGGGAGAAAGATTTGGGTTGTGGCAAAGTAGGGGGGACGCAACAAAATGGTCGGTGTCCTTTTGACGACCAAAAGAAAAATAAGCCCGGCATTATCCCCAACAGCCCCAGACTCCTCAAAGTTGCCCCCAAAAAAAGCTCGATTGGCAAACCCAGACTAGAGATTTCTCCTTCACGAAGGAGGGAATTGGAGCTCTATGTAGGTGTTCCCTTTGGTTCTCCAAATGTTTGTTTTTTTTCGGGGTACCTGGACCCTCAAAATTCCCTTAAACAAAACCGAAATGAACTTTGGGATGTCCAATGCCCAAAAACAGATTAAGGACCTTTGGGCAAGCTTGAATTGCCCCGTGATCGCGCTAGAATTTGCCCAAAAGGCCCCGCATTTTGCCTCTCGCACGCGAAATCGAGCGCTGACGCGTAATCATGAGCGCTCGAAGTGGTTTGAGCCACAGTGCAGGCAGTTGGTCCAGTGGCCCTTAAGAGCCAGCAGCGAAAATAATCAGGCAAGGAGCTCGAATTTGGCGCCACTGGTCAGTTTGGTGTCCATTGTTTGAGCTACCCCTCTGCAAGGGGACTCAAAACGGATGCAACAACAAGTTGTTTGGGTTTCCCTATGTTGACACGTACCCTGGCACTCGTTGCCGGCATGTGACAAAGAAACACAACAGCTACGCCCCAAATGATGATGCAGGCATCATAGCCCCATCTCTTCACCCAAAGGGACACTCCCCAATACGCCATCTATGTAACACTACACTTACTTGTAAGATTCCATAGTCTGGATTTCCTGGCGAAACATTCTGATTCTACATTCCGCATCCTAGACTTAGGGATGCCCCAAGTAAAGGATTCACATCTGGAGCTCATACGTCCATGAGGTCGGGAGAAAAAAAAAGAAGAATTGCCACATCGCAAGTCTAGTCTTTGCCCTTTTTCAAGCACCCGCCTGGCCAGCGGCAAGAGTTCCGGCTGGAAACCTGCTGGCAGAAACAAAAAACAAAACTCGCTTCCGGGGCGTTCGCTTGCAGCAGCGCAGATTTATGTAACTCTCAGTTCCTGAGTACTTGTTTTGGCCCAAAATGGTCTTCCAAATAAATAAGCATCAGGCCCAAAAACTCGGGAAGCATTAATCACTCTGCCACGCACAAAGCCCCGGCAGAACATTCATCTCTCGATCCTTCGATCGAAGAAACCTCGCTGCACTTGCCCAAGGGGATCCCTCTCAATCTAGGGGTGTTTCTACCTACACCTGGTACCTACCTTTTGTTGAAAATGAGCCCCCAAACATATCGGTGAGCGTACCCCTCTCCATCCCTCTCCAAAAAGAGGTGAGCCCCCAAACACACCGACAATCATACCCAAGAGGGTCTATGGGCCTCTCGGTTTGTGCGGGTACCCTTTTGCGGTTTCTGGAAAGCGAAACCAAAGGGCAAACCGAAGCCATGTTTGCGGGTCCCCGAAAGAAAAAAAAAACACAAAAAGCCATACACCAATTGGCAACCAACAAAAATGGTGGTTGTTGGTCTGCAAACTGTTGAGCGCGCGTTGGTTGGCTTGTTAGTTGGCGGAGAAACCATGAGATTCGTTAAACGTGAACATGGTTTACACATTTCCAACCAAGCAACCAGATTTAATCGCCGAATAAATATATATATATATATATATATGTATATATGTGAGCTTGAATAAAGAGGGACCCTTTGCGGACATCATTTCACGTACAGTTGTGTCAACTGCTGCAATCATTTTTTGTAGGTTCTCTATGAACGTGCGCCACGCTCATGTTGTGGGACATGGTCTTGGTTCATCAAATAAGATCCTTATGGCGGTGTATAACGAAAGGGTCCAGAAGCATCCAAGAGCAAATGCCCAAAATACGTGCTGAAAGACCATGGCACATATCATGTGTGGCTGACTCAGTGGGACAAATATTGAGTCTCCTGATTCTGTATGGGGTACTCAAAAGGAAGCTCCAGCAAATTGAACATGGTCAACATATTGATCCGGATATCTCGTTGACCCGGCGGGGAGGGGGGGGCATCGAAGGACTCTCTGTCCAATTGGGATTGGGTAAGGCCCCCCGCCGATATGCAGCAAACGGGTGGTTTTTGTTTGAATTCCTTACACGCGGTACATACTTTAGCTTCTTGCGAGCTCGTGGATAAACTGTGACTTGCCAAACAGCTGAAAATAGTTAAAGGCTGCTTAAGACTTGACGGCAAGCGCTAGCTCAAGCGTCGATCCCTCACGGACAAGTGAGCCACTTGGGCTCACTTGCCACAATGCACAGTCCGAAAGTGGCCAAAAGGCCGTCTCAACGTAACTTCCATAGATTTCATTCACTCAAAGCAGCTCGCAGCGTCCGCTGCATCGAATTCCATCGAATTCTGTCGAACTCCGCTCGGCGCTTGAACGCCTCAAACGCCTCACACCACTGACAGCGGGGCATCCACATGGAGCATGTAGTCCGGTCCCAGTTCCTCAAGGGGCAGTGTAGCTGTTAGCCCTAGTTAGTAGCTCTAGTTATAGCATGTTATAGCCCATTTTAGATTTATAGGGGACTTACGACCGTGGCAAGTGGTCTATAAACATGATGACTAAATACCATTTCTGGGAAACTTAAAGTCGGACTCCCATCCCGCTACTTTATCGGGGGATTTCATTGGGGCCCTCGTGTTTCCCTGTCGGTGGCTATTCCTTTGCTTTCCCTGCAAAGTCCTCGTGGTGGAATACGGAAACCCTTCTCTACCCCCTAGATAGCGTGTGTTTACAACTTGTTTCGTCTGGCACTCCCCAAGTTTAAAAGGAATCTGGGCAAGCGACCGGAAAGCGACCAGAATTCAAAAACCTGAACCAGGGAGTTGTGGGCATCCCCAACAGGGATCCTTACATTATACACCTGAACATTGCCTTGGAAATGGTGGTTTCCCATTGTTTTGGTGGAAAAAGCCATGTTTCAAATGGTTGCAAAATGTATCTTTTAAGGAGCCCTTCCCAAGAGGGATACTTCATGTGTTTTCCGCCCCGAATGGGCGAGTTGGGACAACAATTCATGCTTGGGGCATCTGGGTGCGACCAAAGCTTTGGTCCGTGGACATTTGGGCGGGACCAGTGAACATCCCAATCCCACTAAAACAAACTAAAACGGGTGGTGCACCTACCCCAATGCTTTGACCCACAGCCATTTGGGTGGGATAGCCAGTCCTCGTTGGATGCGATCTGCCGACTCCTTTGCAGGAAAAGCATCACGGTGGCGGTGCCGAAACCGGCCAGGAGCACGAGGCTCAGCACTCGCCCGAAACTCGAATCTGAATTTGCCAACAGCACCTGCGCCTGCACGTTGTGTGCATGTGGGGGTTACTATGTGGCTATGGGTCAACAATGCGCACCCAGAATGGAACCCTCGTAGATGGAACCCAAGACTGGAACCTGCCTGGTGGTTGTATTTTGACCCATACCCATGTACCATGTGGGCTGAAAAAAACCGTGGACAGCCCTTGTATCCTTATGCCTCAGTATCGGTCAGTATCGTTTTTTTTTTGCATCGGTTTGCAGTGTTTTGGCAGCTCTGGTTCGAGAGTCGCGACTTTTCCGTGCAAGTGTAGTATGCGAAGTACACTCTGCCAGCTCCCAGCTCCAGCTGGAAAGTCGCAACTTTTCAGTACAAGTGTAGTACACAAAGTACATTTTGGCAGCTCCAGCTGGAAAGTTGCAACTTTTCAGTAGTATGCGCAGTACACTTTGGCAGCTCCGGCTCGAAAGTCGCAGCTTTTCAGTGCAAGCAAGTGTAGTATGGTGTAGTATACGAAGTACATTTTGGCAGCTCCACAACGGAAGTCTCAACTTTTCAGTACAAATGTAGTACCCAAAGTACATGTTGGCAGCTCCAGAGAAGGCTGCAAGGCAGCTGGTTGGATTCGGCATGGCGGCCAATGAGTTGGGTATCGGTTTGGGCCCTGGAAATTTAGGATTCCGCAATCTTGGTTTGCGACAACAACTAGGACCTGATGTGTGTCTTCATGGCTTCTGGGGGTATCGGTTTTTTTCCTCTGTATCGGTTTACAATGGTTTTGGCCTGCGAAACAAGTTAAGGGACGGCCCCTTACATAACGAAAAGGCGCGGGGTTGTTTTTTCAGCCCATGTCCCTATCCAGAACTCCTGGTAGCTCCCTACCAGCTCCCTACCAGCTCCCTTCCAAGCACCTTGCGTTTAGCTTTGTCGAGGCTGCCCTCTTTTACCTCGGCTAAACGGGAAGCTAAGGACAGCCACCGTTTGTTGGGGCCCCGGTCTTGTTGGATCTACAGGGATCCTTACATTATACACCTGAACATTGCAACTTGGACATGCTGGTTTCCCTTTGTTTCGGTGGGGAAAGCAACATGATTCAAATGGTTGCAACATGAATTTATTTTAAGAAGCCCTGATCTACCAGGTTCGTTGGGTTACGAAAGGTTCGTTGGGTGTTCACTCCATCGAGAGGTTTGTTCCCAGATTCGGTTTTTGCCTTTTGCTTTGGGAAAGACGAAGCCACTGCTCTCAGTAAACATAGGGTCGATGATTATTTTCCTGGCCCCCAAATGGCTGTGGCTCCAAATGAAACGATCGGAGGGGCAAACCGCAGGTTTTGGCTTCCATGTTTCCACTTGCCAGGGCAACCCATTTTGGAATTCCGTTTTTTTGAGCCACAGCCAAATGAGCAAGGATTTGCAAATTTCGCCTTTCACGTTCTGTTTCCCGTGGTGTTCCAACCAATCAACAAATCCTATGCAACTTGCTTCGCTCAGTAGGGACCAGGGTGGTGAATGAAGGCAGGGATTCCCTTAAAACAAAGTTTTATTTCCCTCATTTCCTGCTAAGAACCAGCAAGCTAAAGGACCCTTTGATCAACCCCCCTAATATGAAACCAAGGCGTCGAAGCCGTTTATGGCCCTCGCTATGTCCTGGCGCTGCTCAGCGGGGGCTTCCATCTCTCGCACCACCGGTCAGAAACCCCGGTTTCTGATTCGATTCACCGGTGATATTCCAACAAGTGAGACATAATCAAAACCCGGTACAAAAATGGTGAACCCGGAGCCATGAACAAACTTCCAAGAAACTGCTAGAGGAGTAAGACCCAGTTGCCTCCTGCCCCCCGCCTGCGTCTCGTTCTTTTCTTCACGCCCCTCGGATTTCCCGGATGCCGAAGCCTCTGCCTCGCGCGCCAGCTCCTCCTTCAAGGCCTCCTTCTCCTTCTGCCGCTGCTCCTGAGCCAAACACCCTCACAATACGAACCTGTGGCTTTTCTGGCCTTGAGGTTGGCTCCCTAAACTCACTGATTGGCCAAGAAGAGTCCACTAACTGTTTCCGCAAACGTAGCCAAAGGTACCCTCCAACAGCCTGAAGCTCCTGAACGGACCTCTTTGAAAGACTTGGTTCCAAGTACGGAGGCCTGGGAGCTTCCATTTTTGTCTGAGGAAGTGCAAATGGGGTTCCTCAATATTCCTTCGGCCCTAATATTACATATCAAATCATTTTAGTGGCTTCCCCAAATGGTTCTCCCACGTACATCGGACCTTTTGGTGCTTGGGCAAGGGAGAATCCCATCAACTCGCCCGGCAAGGGCTCCTCGAGTTGGAACTGGCCAATGTCTGGTCAAAGGTTTGAGATAAACCTCGGTTGCTTTCTGCTCCCCTGCTAAATGCTTAACTTTTAGTGGTTTAATGGAAAACCCATCGGTTGGCAAAAAGTCCGCCGACATTGCTCGGCGTGTCGGATACTTACTTTAGAGCCTCCGGCTCAGTCCGCCGACATTGTCCTCTCCCTTTTCTCCTTCTTCCTCTCTTCCTTGTCTCCCTTGTGTGTTCTGTCGTCCTCTCTCCCTCCCTCTGCTCCCATCCTCCCCATCCCCCCAAGCCTCTCTCTCCCCACTCTCCCTCTCTCGTATGTATGCATGCATGTACATATGTATGTATGTATGTATGTATGTATGTATGTATGTATGTATGTATGTATGTATGTATGTATGTATGTATGTATGTATGTATGTATGTATGTATGTATGTATGTATGTATGTATGTATGTATGTATGTATGTATGTATGTATGTATGTATGTATGTATGTATGTATGTATGTATGTATGTATGTATGTATGTATGTATGTATGTATGTATGTATGTATGTATGTAATGTAATGTATGTATGTATGTATGTATGTATGTATGTATGTATGTATGTATGTATGTATGTATGTATGTATGTATGTATGTATGTATGTATGTATGTATGTATGTATGTATGTATGTATGTATGTATGTATGTATGTATGTATGTATGTATGTATGTATGTATGTATGTATGTATGTATGTATGTATGTATGTATGTATGTATGTATGTATGTATGTATGTATGTATGTATGTATGTATGTATGTATGTATGTATGTAATGTATGTATGTATGTATGTATGTATGTATGTATGTATGTATGTATGTATGTATGTATGTATGTATGTATGTATGTATGTATGTATGTATGTATGTATGTATGTATGTGTATGTATGTATGTATGTATGTATGTATGTATGTATGTATGTATGTATGTATGTATGTATGTATGTATGTATGTATGTATGTATGTATGTATGTATGTATGTATGTATGTATGTATGTATGTATGTATGTATGTATGTATGTATGTATGTATGTATGTATGTATGTATGTATGTATGTATGTATGTATGTATGTATGTATGTATGTATGTATGTATGTATGTATGTATGTATGTATGTATGTATGTATGTATGTATGTATGTATGTATGTAATGTATGTATGTATGTATGTATGTATGTATGTATGTATGTATGTATGTATGTATGTATGTATGTATGTATGTATGTATGTATGTATGTATGTATGTATGTATGTATGTATGTATGTATGTATGTATGTATGTATGTATGTATGTATGTATGTATGTATGTATGTATGTAATGTATGTATGTATGTATGTATGTATGTATGTATGTATGTATGTATGTATGTATGTATGTAATGTATGTATGTATGTATGTATGTATGTATGTATGTATGTATGTATGTATGTATGTATGTATGTATGTATGTATGTATGTATGTATGTATGTATGTATGTATGTGTATGTATGTATGTATGTATGTATGTATGTATGTATGTATGTATGTATGTATGTATGTATGTATGTATGTATGTATGTATGTATGTATGTATGTATGTATGTATGTATGTATGTATGTATGTATGTATGTATGTATGTATGTATGTATGTATGTATGTATGTATGTATGTATGTATGTATGTATGTATGTATGTATGTATGTATGTATGTATGTATGTATGTATGTATGTATGTATGTATGTATGTATGTATGTATGTATGTATGTATGTATGTATGTATGTATGTATGTATGTATGTATGTATGTATGTATGTATGTATGTATGTATGTATGTATGTATGTATGTATGTATGTATGTATGTATGTGTATGTATGTATGTATGTATGTATGTATGTATGTATGTATGTATGTATGTATGTATGTATGTATGTATGTATGTATGTATGTATGTATGTATGTATGTATGTATGTATGTATGTATGTATGTATGTATGTATGTATGTATGTATGTATGTATGTATGTATGTATGTATGTATGTATGTATGTATGTATGTATGTATGTATGTATGTATGTATGTATGTAATGTATGTATGTATGTATGTATGTATGTATGTATGTATGTATGTATGTATGTATGTATGTATGTATGTATGTATGTATGTATGTATGTATGTATGTATGTATGTATGTATGTATGTATGTATGTATGTATGTATGTATGTATGTATGTATGTATGTATGTATGTATGTATGTATGTATGTATGTATGTAATGTATGTATGTATGTATGTGTAATGTATGTATGTATGTATGTATGTATGTATGTATGTATGTATGTATGTATGTATGTATGTATGTATGTATGTATGTATGTGTATGTAATGTATGTATGTATGTATGTATGTATGTATGTATGTATGTATGTATGTATGTATGTATGTATGTATGTATGTATGTATGTATGTAATGTATGTATGTCTGTATGTATGTATGTATGTATGTATGTCTGTATGTATGTTGTATGTATGTATGTATGTATGTATGTATGTATATGTATGTGTAATGTATGTATGTATGTGTATGTATGTATGTATGTATGTATGTATGTATGTATATGTATGTATGTAATGTGTATAATGTATGTATGTATGTATGTATGTATGTATGTATGTATGTATGTATGTATGTATGTATGTATGTATGTATGTATGTATGTATGTATGTATGTATGTATGTATGTATGTATGTATGTATGTATGTATGTATGTATGTATGTATGTATGTATGTATGTATGTAATGTATGTATGTATGTATATGTATGTATGTATGTATGTATGTATGTATGTATGTATGTATGTATGTATGTATTGTAATGTATGTATGTATGTATGTATGTATGTATGTATGTATGTATGTATGTATGTATGTATGTATGTAATGTATGTATGTATGTATGTATGTATGTATGTATGTATGTATGTATGTAATGTATGTATGTATGTATGTATGTATGTATGTATGTATGTAATGTATGTATGTATGTATGTATGTAATGTATGTATGTATGTATGTATGTATGTATGTATATGTGTATGTATGTATGTATGTAATGTATGTATGTATGTAATGTATGTATGTATGTAATGTGTGTATGTATGTATGTATGTATGTATGTATGTATGTATGTATGTATGTATGTATGTATGTATGTATGTAATGTATGTATGTATGTATGTATGTATGTATGTATGTATGTATGTAATGTAATGTAATGTAATGTAATGTAATGTATGTAATGTATGTATGTACCTTGCATGCTTCCCCTTTGCTCCCCAGTATTTCCCGCAAAAAAACACGGTTTTTCCAGCGTTTTCGCAAAGAGGACGTCCAAAAACATTGAGTTTTTCCAGATTTTCGGCAAAAGGATGCAGGAAGCCCAAGCCAGCAAAAAAGCCGGCAGGGGGAATCGAGCCTGGGACCCCTGTTTTGCGACACCGGCTCCCCGAAGACTACGTTTAGTGGAACGTCATCAAATTGCCGCGCGGTACGTGGGGGACCCCCCCCCCCCCCAAAAAAACCTACGTACGTCGGGCGGGGGGGGGGAACTAGAGGATAGGATAACTTGCGACGTGTAGGTCCCCCCGTACCGCGCGGCAATTTGATGACGTTTTCCCCCCCCCCGCCCGACGTCTATTACGTAGGTTTTTGGGGGGGGGGGGGTCCCCCACGTACCGCGCGGCAATTTGATGACGTTCCACTAAACGTAGTCTTCGGGGAGCCGGTGTCGCAAAACAGGGGTCCCAGGCTCGATTCCCCCTGCCGGCTTTTTTGCTGGCTTGGGCTTCCTGCATCCTTTTGCCGAAAATCTGGAAAAACTCAATGTTTTTGGACGTCCTCTTTGCGAAAACGCTGGAAAAACCGTGTTTTTTGCGGGAAATACATACATACATACATACATACATACATACATACATACATACATACATACATACATACATACATACATACATACATACATACATACATACATACATACATACATACATACATACATACATACATACATACATACATACATACATACATACATACATACATACATACATACATACATACATACATACATACATACATACATACATACATACATACATACATACATACATACATACATACATACATACATACATACATACATACATACATACATACATACATTACATACATACATACATACATACATACATTACATTACATTACATTACATTACATTACATTACATTACATTACATTACATTATTACATTACATTACATTACATACATTACATTACATTACATTACATTACATTACACATTACATTACATTACATTACATTACATTACATTACATTACATTACATTACATTACATTACATTACATTACATTACATTACATTACATTACATACATACATACATACATACATACATACATACATACATACATACATACATACATACATTACATTACATACATACATACATACATACATACATACATACACATATACATACATACATACATACATGCATTACATACATACATACATACATACATACATACATACATACATACATACATACATACATACATACATACATACATACATACATACATACATACATACATACATACATACATACATACATACATACATACATACATACATACATACATACATACATACATACATACATACATACATACATACATACATACATACATACATACATACATACATACATACATACATACATACATACATACATACATACATACATACATACATACATACATACATACATACATACATACATACATACATACATACATACATACATACATACATACATACATACATACATACATACATACATACATACATACATACATACATACATGCATGCATACATACATATACATACATACATACATACATACATACATACATACATACATACATACATACATACATACATACATACATACATACATACATACATACATACATACATTACATTACATTACATTACATTACATTACATTACATTACATTACATTACATTACATTACATTACATTACATTACATTACATTACATTACATTACATTACATACATACATACATACATACATACATACATACATACATTACATACATACATACATACATTACATACATACATACATACATACATACATACATACATACATACATACATACATACATACATACATACATACATACATACATACATACATACATACATACATACATACATACATACATACATACATACATACATACATACATACATACATACATACATACATACATACATACATACATACATACATACATACATACATACATACATACATACATACATACATACATACATACATACATACATACATACATACATACATACATACATACATACATACATACATATACATACATACATTACATTACATTACATTACATTACATTACATTACATTACATTACATTACATTACATTACATTACATTACATTACATTACATTACATTACATTACATTACATTACATTACATTACATTACATTACATTACATTACATTACATTACATTACATTACATTACATTACATTACATTACATTACATTACATTACATTACATTACATTACATTACATTACATTACATTACATTACATTACATTACATTACATTACATTACATACATACATTACATACATACATACTTACTTACGTACTTACTTACTTACTTACTTGCTTACATTACATACATACATACATACATACATACATACATACACGCATGCATACATACATACTTATGTACATGCATGCATACATACGAGAGAGGGAGATTGGGGAGAGAGAGGCTTGGGGGGATGGGGAGGATGGGAGCCGAGAGAGGGAGAGAGGACGACAGAACACACAAGGGAGACAAGAAAGAGAGGAAGAAGGAGAAAAGGGAGAGGACAATGTCGGCGGACTGAGCCGGAGGCTCTAAAGTTAAAGTCCTAACATCCCTTGGCAAAATGCACCAAAGCCAAGAAATCTGGAAGAAAAACACAGCAACTAGCTCTCCAAATGGAGCCCAATGAATGGGGCTCTGGTATTCTTTCCCTTTTGCACTGAAAGGCCCGCGATCCAGGAATTGTGGGCTGGTTCTGAGGGTTTTTGTAGTACACCCCTACCCAGAATGGTTCAAAATAACACGGTTTTATCTGGAAATGTGCCCAATTGGGGGTCAATCCCCGGTGGGTGTCTTCCCAGGGTGTAATGCAAAAACCCTCAGACTGGTGGGCTGATGACAAGAATCGAAGCAAGTAATGCAGCCCTCGAAAAGGCCACGCCTGCATGTCGTTGACATTTCAAGGCTCGCAAAGTGCTTTAAGGGTAAGCCGTTTCTTCGCTTTCGGCGCCTTCTCCCTCTGGAGCTCGCGCTGCAGGCGTTGGTGCTCCATCTGCAGCTCCTAAGGAAGCGTGGGACATGGGTGTGGCACAATCGGGGTACCCTAAAACTGGTTGGTGTCCTTGTGAATTCCCTTGACGCCAATCTGAAAAGGGTACCGACCATGGCTTAGATGTATATATGTGTATATAGTTGGTTATACCTACGTGTGTGTTTAAGGCACTTGTTTTTGTTTTTTTTTGTTTAAACCTTGAGGCATTTTGACACAACGAGCCACGGTCAAAATATGTTTTTGTGCCGACCTTTACGGAAGCCCCAGGCACCCAGGCACCCTCAAAGCAGATCCTAGGCTCCTTGTTCTTTTCTCTTTGCGGTCTGGAAAAAGCAATCCCAGACTCGCTGTGGTAAAACCAGGGCTCGCTCCTGTCGCAGGTCCTTCGAGCTCTGGACCGTGTGAGCCTCTCGACGGCTCGGCCCGTCGCATGTCCCCGTTCCAGCGCTGACCGCGGGCGACCCCAAACCCGAGCTGACGTTCAGCTGGGTCGTTCCCTTGGAATCCGCGTGGGTCAAAAAACGAACCAAAATGGCTCCAAAACGTTTCATGGAACCAAAGACTAAAACCTGGACCTGACTTTAGTTGCTTCATTTTGAGCCACACATGGAAAACAGGTTTCAAGGGAAGTCACATGGAGACATTTGCAAACTTAGGGGCCCGTGGATTCTGACTACCTTGAGTACTGCCCCCCTCTGCAAGAAGTGCTTCACTGCTTGTGGATACACGGAACATCCGCAAAGGTTTCAACGAGATAAAGTCCAAAGATCCGTTACCAAGTAGCCATAGAAATACACCCCTGATGCTCACGGAACCTTCATGACAGGGATCTCCTTTTGGGAGGACCCCTTTAGGAATCTGCAGAGTAAGAACCGCCGGCCTGCCCTGAGATCCGTAGGACCCCCCTCCCCCCCCCTCCCCCTGGCTGGGGGGAAAGCATGCCCTCTTGCCCGGCTTGGACGGCTTCTTTGAAGTAGTCTTCCAAACCCTCCTGTCAGCATAAAAAGGTGCTTCCCTCGAGAAGGTGGCTTGAACAATTGGTATATTCGTGGTTTGGGGCGGTTTCCCGTCTCAACAAGAACCAGCATTTCGCATCCAAATCCAAACCGCCAATTAAGGGATATCTGACATGCACAAGCGATGCTAAGGGTCGGGATCCCTGCAGGTTTGGGGAATCACGTTGTGGCTGACACACCAAAACATGTCGAAACGAAAGGCGACCCAAAGATTTCTGTTGCCTTGACTAAGGCCAACAGCGGGCGACACACGAAGCGCCCCTCAAGTGGCCTCAGAGACATTGGATCCGTGGGATGGAGCCGCAAGCACGGCCACTGACCCAGCCATGTCCGAATACTTGTCCATGTACTTCTGGTAGTCCCCAGCCTGAGAACCTGCCTGGGAACCACCCTGGGAACCACCCATGTACTTGGAATAGTCGGTCGCATACTTGTTCATGTACTGCTGATAGTTGCCTGGCTGGGAAGCTTTATCAGACTTCCCGGACGTGTCCGACTTGTCCAACTTGTGCTCAGCATCAGCATTCAACTGCACGTACTTCTGGTAGTCGCCAGCCTGGGAACCACCCTGGGACCCGCCCATGTACTTCTGGTAGTCAGCATATTTGTCCATGTACTTCTGGTAGCTGCCAGCCTGGGAACCACCCTGGGAACCACCCATATACTTGGAATAGTCGGCCGCATACTTGTTCAAGTACTGCTGATAGTTGCCTGGCTGGGAAGTTTTGTCAGACTTCTCCGACGTGTCCGTCTTGTCCGACTTGTGCTCAACATCAGCATTCAACTGCACGTACTTCTGGTAGTCGCCAGACTGGGAACCACCCTGGGACCCGCCCATGTACTTCTGGTAGTCAGTCGCATATTTGTCCATGTACTTCTGGTAGCTGCCAGCCTGGGAACCACCCTGGGAACCACCCATGTACTTGGAATAGTCGGCCGCATACTTGTTCATGTACTGCTGATAGTTGCCTGACTGGGAAGCTTTGTCAGACTTCTCCGACGTGTCCGTCTTGTCCAACTTGTGCTCAACATCAGCATTCAACTGCACATACTTCTTGTAGCCGCCAGACTGGGAACCACCCTGGGACCCGCCCATGTACTTCTGGTAGTCAGTCGCATATTTGTCCATGTACTTCTGGTAGCTGCCAGCCTGGGAACCACCCTGGGAACCACCCATGTACTTAGAATAGTCGGCCGCATACTTGTTCATGTACTGCTGATAGTTGCCTGGCTGGGAAGCTTTGTCAGACTTCCCCGACGTGTCCGACTTGTCCGACTTGTGCTCAGCATCAGCATTCAACTGCACGTACTTCTGGTAGTCGCCAGACTGGGAACCACCCTGGGACCCGCCCATGTACTTCTGGTAGTCAGTCGCATATTTGTCCATGTACTTCTGGTAGCTGCCAGCCTGGGAACCACCCTGGGAACCACCCACGTACTTGGAATAGTCGGCCGCATACTTGTCCATGTACTGCTGATAGTTGCCTGGCTGGGAAGCTTTGTCAGACTTCTCCGACGTGTCTGTCTTGTCCGACGTGTGCTCAACATCAGCATTCAACTGCACGTACTTCTGGTAGTCGCCAGACTGGGAACCACCCTGGGACCCGCCCATGTACTTCTGGTAGTCAGCATATTTGTCCATGTACTTCTGGTAGCTGCCAGCCTGGGAACCACCCTGGGAACCACCCATGTACTTGGAATAGTCGGCCGCATACTTGTTCATGTACTGCTGATAGTTGCCTGGCTGGGAAGCTGTGTCAGACTTCCCGGACATGTCCGTCTTGTCCGACTTGTGCTCAGCATCAGCATTCAGCTGCACGTACTTCTCGTAGTCGCCAGACTGGGAACCACCCTGGGACCCACCCATGTACTTCTGGTAGTCAGTCGCAAATTTGTCCATGTACTTCTGGTAGTCCCCAGCCTGAGAACCACCCTGGGAACCACCCTGGGAACCCCCCATGTACTTGGAATAGTCGGCCGCATACTTGTTCATGTACTGCTGATAGTTGCCTGGCTGGGAAGCTTTGTCAGACTTCCCAAACGTGTCCGACTTGTCCGACTTTTGCTCAGCATCAGCATTCAACTGCACGTACTTCTGGTAGTCGCCAGCCTGGGAGCCACCCTGGGAACCACCCATGTACTTGGAATAGTCGGCCGCATACTTGTTCATGTACTGCTGATAGTTGCCAGGCTGGGAAACTTTGTCAGACTTCCCGGACGTGTCCGACTTGTCCGACTTGTGCTCAGCATCAGCATTCAGCTGCACGTACTTCTGGTAGTCGCCAGACTGGGAACCACCCTGGGACCCGCCCATGTACTGCTGGTAGTCAGCCGCATATTTGTCCATGTACTTCTGGTAGCTGCCAGCCTGGGAACCACCCTGGGAACCACCCATGTACTTGGAATAGTCGGCCGCATACTTGTCCATGTACTGCTGATAGTTGCCTGGCTGGGAAGCTTTGTCAGACTTCTCCGACGTGTCTGTCTTGTCCGACGTGTGCTCAGCATCAGCATTCAATTGCACGTACTTCTGGTAGTCGCCAGACTGGGAACCACCCTGGGACCCGCCCATGTACTTCTGGTAGTCAGCCGCATATTTGTCCATGTACTGCTCGTAGTTTCCAGCATATTTGCCCACTACATCTCCAGCAAGCGCTACCTTTGTCCAAGGCGCTTGAAAAAAGGGCTCACCTTTGAGCGTCTGTGTTCGTTTCACACTGTGCCGGGAGGGTACCTGGACTGTCAAGTGCCCGGGAGGTTAGTCTTCGGGATTGAGATGAGGACAGCATCCTCTTTCAAGTGTGTTACAGGGTGGCCCTTTTTGCTCTGTTCAGGGGGGCAGTTGGGCATGCCTCCAGGGGATATCTTCACTTTCAGGGATCATACATTTTTCCAACAAGGTAGTTGAACAAGGGCCCGTGACAAATCATCCCGCATTCTTCTGCACAATGCCCAACATCTTCCAACCACTCCCTGAATTGGCTTCCACGTGTTTGTGGCGCCACAAAACAGCATGCCAGCTTGCCCATTTTCCTCTCAACCCAGCCGGGCAAATGACAAAACACAAAAACACAAACTGGGAGAAACAAAGCCCTCCATTTGCTTAAGTCCTCAAGAAAACAAAACATGTCCAGTAGTGGTAGATTCCCTTTACAACCAACAGGGGAAATCATACAACATATTCTTAAGCAAATGGAAGAAGCCAACTGCCTGCAACAGCAGAACTATGGCGATTCGAGCTGCTGGTATCAGCGCCAAAAGAATCAAAGCCATCCTGCGACAGGTGGGCGGTGCTCGTTGCGGCGATTTGGTCGGACGGAGAAACTGAAGCCAAATGGCTTCGGCATGGTGCGGGGCGGTCTTTTGGCCGAAACGTGTTCGGGCAGCTCGGAATTGGGTCTAGAACAAGCATCAAGTGCTTCCTTTTGGGAAACATGAACATTGCGGGCTATATCGCACTCAGCATTCTTTGCAGAGGAAACCATAACCACTTTTAGGGCGCAATGCACATAGGTGTCTTTTTGGTAAACTAGATGGCACTGGTACATGATTAGAACCAACCTGCAACCAGTGGAACCCATCTAAGTCATAATCAAAACCCGGTACACAAATGGTGCACCCAGGACCATGTATAGAACTAAGAAGGCGGATATCCGCAGCTATTCATGGCAAACCTTCATCTACCCGAATCGGTTTTGAGCACGTGGCGCTGCTTTCAATCCAAACGGACCCAGACCATGGCGATGCGCATTCGCCTTTTAACTCAGCGGCGATAGGTGGCATTTCCTTCCGGAAAGGATAGCTCGATCCCTGACAGAAAGAGGGTATCACTTTTTAGCGGACTCTCCAAATGGATTTTGGTGCCCCTTTTGGTTTCCTGAAAAAAAGCCACCAAAAAGGGGTATCCTCAAAAAGACGCACAACTCGAATAGTCTCTTCTAAAGCAGGTACTGACCCACCTAATCACGCCAAGGGGCAAAGAACCCCTTTTCGGGACCCGTCGAAAGTGCTCCCTGATTCTTGCGGTCAAAACTTCCCAACCTACTTACATGATTGGACTTAGGCCCAGTTATAGAATGTATATTCTATTGTTTGCTTCCCTTTGAGTCACTGGTAAAATGTAAAATGTATCCTAAGTCTACCCCAGCTTATGCCTTGTGCCCTCAACGCGAAGAGGCCGAAGGGAAAAGCTTCCGGGGCGAGCGGTCGAGAAAAAAGGGCGCCTGAAGCCTCAAACTACCCATAAAGGGAACTCAGCCCATTTTTAGTTGGAATTTTGCGTGTTCAGGTAGTTCTGCGGAGGGAGGATATATCGGCGGTTCATTTCCCCTCTGGTTGCTTCTCGCGGCTTCTTTTTCTGATCTATCCCTTCCTTTTCCCTCAAGCTTTCATCACATTGGATTCGGTCTTGACTTGAGGCAGAAGCCGAGGGACGAGAAATTCAAGCGCATCCAAAGCAGCGCCGGGAACCTTTGGGCTTCCTACTTCGGCTGTTCCGAAAGCTTAAGATCTTTGCCAGATCCGAGACATGCCCGGAGCGGCCAGTATGTTTTGTGCAAGTTGGTAACTCCTTGCACTTGTGGGCGGAGTTCTGTGGATTTCCTTTTGGATAGAGATTGGCATGGATTGGGGCATCCTCCAATCACTTGGGTGGATGGGCCAGCCCAAGCCGAAGTTTCTTCACCACTAAGGCTCAGATGCCCAGTGGCCATGGGAAACAAAGAATCGGCATCCAATTTTTTGGTTGGTTGAGTTTAAAGGGGAACCCTTCCCAAAAAGGAAAAAAGGGCGCCACTTGGCAACTAAGGTGGTCTAAGCCTAAGTCCTCCAGTAGAGAGGTTAGAATAAGGGCACCCTTTTTTTCCGTAGTCTATTTTGGTAGCGGAACCTTCCCCCAACAAAGAAACGGTAAAAGGGCACTGGGGGACCTAGAAGCCCAACTTGGGAAGGGACGCCCATGAAGCGCAAGGCGTCACATCCAGGCTGCAAGTTGTTCTTGCATTCCGAGGCGAAGGTTGCCGTGATGCACCTCGGGTCATGTGTTGGCCGTCCTGGTTTCTTGTGTTGGTCCTTCTTCTAGAAAAGTCTAGGATGCCTCCAAAAGGCAAACCCCGCAAAAACGTCTTGCGGTGGATTTAGACCTAGACAGTAGATTGCACAAATCCCTGGATGCGGGTAGGTAAAGTGGATGACGAAACCAAAAGGGGGGAGGATTGTGCCAGCTGTATATGCTCTCACCCAACTGTAAATAAGATACCTTGGTTGAGATGAGCGTGGGTACGGATAGTGACAAAATTATTGAAGGGGCTGTTGTCGGGAAGTCCCTTGCTGAGGCAGGCCCTTGCTGCTCGAAAAGGAACAAGGGGCCACAAGCGGAACCTCACTTCCGGAAATTCCGAGTGGCAAAAGAGTAACCACACTTGCTTGCACAGTCACCCTCCTTCCTCTGGCGGCTTGCTAGACTCCAATCTCCCTCGAGCGACTGCCTCGCTAGACACAAATCCACGCGGGAAGTCAAGGCGTGAGTCTAACAAAGCAGAGTCTGGCAAGTCTACTTGGAAGGCTAGACAAAGAGGTAAGTAAGCAAAGTGTACGTGAGTCAAGCCCTTCCGACCATTTTGGTGCCCAGGCCAGTCTCCTCCAAAGCGCTTCATAGAAATCCAGGACTCAACCCTCCCCTCTCAAACGGGGGCAACTGAACCGGAGTGTCCCTCTGCAGAAGTGTGTCGAAAGGGGCACAAGAATGGACGTTGTTGTTCCTGTTAGTTTCCACACTCAGGAAGAGTGGATGGGCCACACAAGTAACCAAACTGTTTGCCACAAGATTTATCCAAACCCCAAATTGCGAAAGTCCGTTCGGGCCATTTGCCAAAGCTTCGGCCTTCCACCGATTTCTTTGCCACTGGAACGGCCTTTTTTCCAAACCCGAAACTGTAGTCTATTTTAGGAATTTCTTTGCCACTGTAGTCTATTTTAGGATCGGGGAACCCTCCCAACCAAAAAGGAAAGGGTAAAAGAAGGGCGCTAAGCTGGGGGGACCTAGTCCAATTTTCTTAAGTGACCATACGGGTACCTTCCCTGTTCTTTCCAATTGTTTTGCGGGCACGGGGTGCTCTTGTCTTGCGGGCGCTCACATTTGCGGGCGTGCTCACTGGCGCTCTATGAGGTGCTCCCTGATTGTTTCGCAAGCTTGCTCGCTCATGGGGTGCTCCCCAATTTGCTTTCTGCAGGCCACGGGGTGCTCCCCATCCTCATTGCGGGCGCTGTGCGAGGTGCTCTCCCCGGCGCTCCCCGCTTGTTTCGGCGCGCTCACTCATGGGAGCGCTTCCCTATATTGGTTTTCTGCAATGCTGCTTGGCACGGGCTCTCGTCTTTCTGCTGCTGGTACCGCGGGCCCCCCTTTTGCCAGGCAATGACGTTTACGGAGCCTGGGGCGCTCGGCTAGTCTGAACTCCAAGTGGAGGGGGCAATGACGGTTCTAGAGCCCCCTGCGAAGCCGGGAGGGATGGCGCCTTAGGCAGGGCCCTGCGCTCCGGCGCAGAGGCTTCTTCTCTCTCTTTTTCTCTCTCTCTTTTTCTCTCTCTCTTTTTCTCTCTCTCTTTTTCTCTCTCTCTTTTTCTCTCTCTCTTTTTCTCTCTCTCTCTCTCTCTCTCTTTTTCTCTCTCTTTTTCTCTCTCTCTCTCTCTCTCTCTCTCTCTCTTTTTCTCTCTCTCTTTTTGTCTCTCTCTCTCTCTCTTTTTCTCTCTCTCTTTTTCTCTCTCTCTCTCTCTTTTTCTCTCTCTTTTTCTCTCTCTCTTTTTCTCTCTCTTTTTCTCTCTCTCTTTTTTTCTCTCTCTTTTTCTCTCTCTCTCTCTCTCTCTTTTTCTCTCTCTTTTTCTCTGTCTCTCTTTTTGTCTCTCTCTCTCTCTCTTTTTCTCTCTCTCTCTCTCTTTCTCTCTCTCTCTCTCTCTCTCTTTTTCTCTCTCTCTTTTTCTCTCTCTTTTTCTCTCTCTCTCTCTCTTTTTTTCTCTCTCTCTCTCTCCCCCCCCAAAAAGAATCCTTCTCTCTAGAGAACCTCCAGAAACCCTCAGAAACCCCAGGGAAAAGCGTAGCGCGGTTTGCAAACCATCGGTCGGACGAGGCGCTTGTTGAAGTCCTCCGGGCACTTCTTGCAGATCCGGCCGTACTCCTCGTCGCCCACCTGCACAAAAGGGTTTGGAGGAGAGAAACAAAGAGAAAATCTAGGGGTAACTTCCATTTCCATTCTTGCCAGGGATCCTTCTTTCTAGAAAGCCGCCAAACACCCTGGGGGAAATGGCTGATGTTTGAAAGAGCGATAGGGAACTGGACTCAGTTGCCCAAAGGACCTGGAACTAAAAGGTTAACCTTTTGGGGCCATGACTAAATATGGTTGCCAAAAT